CAACGCGTGAGGGCTCCCAGTATGAGAGGGGGCAGGCTGCTGGGCTGAGGACACTCCCCCCCACACACACACCCAGTGCACTAATTTCGTGCACCGGGCCCCTAGTTAAGTTAATAACAATGTACCTACCTATATAGTTTAAGTTTAAAAAATTTGGCTCTCAAAAGAAATTTCAATCGTTGTACTGTTGATATTTGGCTCCGTTGACTAATGAGTTTGCCTACCAGTGCACTAAGACATGCTACAACATGAAAAAAATTTAGAAGTTTTAGGGTGAATTAAAGAAATCAGATATAAAAGAGTACCTACTATACAATTCAATTTATATGGAGTTCTACAGTAAACAAACTAATCTATGATAAAAGAAAACCAAACAGTGATTGTTTCTGGGATCATGGAATAAAGTGGGGGTTAATGGGGAAGTTGCATAAGGGATTTTTCTTGGGAGATAAAACTATTCTATATTTTAATAGAGGGGGTCACAGTGGTATGTGCAGTTGTCACAACTCATCAAACTATACACTTAAGATGTGTGTACTTCACAGTATGTAAATTCTTCCATTTACATACAAAAAGAAAAAAAATGTCTCTTGGGAATAAGGTTTGGGTTAAGCCACAGTGAAGTTGAGTTCAGTCGTTTCTTATCACAATATTTTTGCATGATTTGATTTGTGACCATTTGTTTGTATTACTTTGATTAAAATTTATTAAAAGTACTTGTACAGACTTCTAAGTTAAGGTGATAGAATAAAAACATCTGAAACTCTCCCTTTTCCCAGCCCTAATGATAGAATAATAAATAGGATCAAACTAGCCAAAATACCTTTCAAAGAAAAGGACAGAGCTTTATGACATACATTTCAAAATATGCAACCAAAAATATTAGAGGAGTTCAAACCCTCAACACACACACACACACACACACACACACACACACACACACGCACGCATTATGCAAGAAATGTGAATAAAAATGTTTTTTAAATTACACTAAGGTCTTCAAACATAGAAAAGATGAACCAATGCACAAAAGTTGTATCTGCACAAGGGAAAATATGGTAATATTTAATTTAAATATCCCTGTGTGGATAGGAAAACTAAGAAGAAAGGGGTTAGTCATCACTTGCTGTGCGTCTTGGAAATGTTGCCTTTTAGTTGGGTAAATTATTGCTCTTGATAATATGAGTGGTCTGGAAATGAGAAAATAGGGAAGAATAGATGTTAAGTAGGCTACTAGCAATATATGCTACATACGACAAATCTTAGATAGGAAAAAGCATAATTGAAGAGACAGAAAAAATTTCTCTAGGAAGGTTTTATGTTGTGGAAGAACATGATAAAAACATAAAGCTAATAAAAGCAGATAACCTTGAGGAAAAGATGATAAACAATGAAGTCAAATGAAGAAAATTGAGAAGCAAAATTAAACCAAAAAGAGAAAAAAACCCTAAATTTAACAACTATGGACTTGGCTGATAATCAAATAACTAACAAAGAAAGAAGGTTTGAGATAACCTCAGTGAATATAAATGAAAAGGATATTAAAGTAAGTGGAAAGCAAATAATATAATAAAGTAAAGATAATTTGTGTCTTTGAGGTAAGGAACCCATCATGCAGAATGGGGAAGGTATTCAAAGGCAGAACAGAAGAAAAATTTCCAGAAATAGTAAGAGTTGAATCTGTAGAAAAATATATCATGTTCCAGGAAAGAATATAAATGATGATATGTACTGAAACATGTCTTAGGTAAGTTCATAAAACTTTGAAAGTAATGGAAAAATTTTCTAGGGAGAAAAATCAGGCTAAATGTGAGGTAGAGGTGGGAGGGGCAGATCAGGCTGACCACAAACTGATACCATTAGAAATGTAGCAGTAATCTACAAAGAGCTAATAAAAGGATTATGTAACCCCAAAATATTATGCTTTATGCCAAACTGAGTAATTATTCAAATATAAAGTCAATAGGTAGATAGTCTCAAGTAGACATAGACCTCTAAAAACAAACAATTGAAGCATGAAATATACAATGGTGAATCTTTCTTTGAAAAAAAAATGACGATTCTATCCAACTAATGATCAGAGGAATCATAGCATATGTGGATTAATTTAAATATATAACAACTAAATCATTATAGGATTCTTAATTAGAGAAGGAAAATGTCATATGGGTACATTATAACTTATAATCTCTCTCTCTATATAAGCCTAAGCGACTGGCCAACCGTTGACCATTCGACCATTTGACCATTCAACTGGCTGACTGTTAG